CCTGACTCCTTCAGGAGAGCTCCTGTGGATGTTTAACAAGGAGAGCCTCAGCCATCTTGATTTGCAGAGCTGGAGGGATCCCAGGAAAAGCCTGGGAATGCTGTTTGGGTCAAATGATGTTCGACCCATCACTGCCTTTAACACAACTGCTCACCCTGAGCTCACCAAATCTCACTCCCTCATCCCTCCCGAAGCAGTGGGAGCTGCCCACATCCTGATCTTCCATCCCTCCAGGGCATAAATCCGGGCTTGTGGCTCCAGCTGGGGCTCCGGCCCCGAGCCAGGATCCTGCTGGCCATGCCAAGCTGGCASCAGCTGGCTCCTGGTGGCAATTGTCACTTTGTCCTGCTGCTCACAGATGGATGGGTGACAGCAGCCTCACCCAGAGGCACAAGAGTCTCCTCGGAGCCCTCCCAAGGACAGTGATCCCACCAAGTTTTCCTTGTGCCGAGGGAAGAGGCAGCAAAAAGCTGCAGGTGCCAGGAGGATTTGGGTGAACAAACACGGAGGGTTTGTCCCACCCCCTGAGCTCCTGGGGGCAGAGCCCCCACATTCCCTGGCTAAAACCCAAAAGGAAAAGGTGAATCCATCACCCCACAATGAAACCCACCCTGTTAACTCCACGCTCTGCAGGGAGGCATTAAATACAACCAATTTAACAGAATCTGCCACTCAAAGAAAATACAATTTAAGCAAATCTGCCATTCAAACAAAATACAACCAAGTTAATCAACTCTGCCATGAAAATACAACCAATTTAACCAAATTTGCCATTCAAAGAAAATACAACCAAGTTAATCAACTCTGCAGATTTAACCAAATCTGCCATTTCCACCCTCACATATCTGCACATGTTTCCTGGAGCATCCCAGGTGCTGCCTGGGTTATCCAAACCACGGGGCAGGAGCAGAACCTCAAATTTACCATTCATTTTGGCCTGTGAGCAGAACCCCAAATCCATCATTCCTTTTGCCCTGTGAGCCAAACTCCAAATCCATCATTCCTCTTGTGAGCAGAACCCCAAATCCACCATTCCTTTTGCCCTGTGAGCAGAACCTCAAATCCATCACTCTTTTTGTGAAC